GTGTTTGAATATTAGTAAGCTGTAGCCCCCCCCTCCCCTCGGGCTCACTCCTGTTCTCCACCAATTTCCCATCTTCTGAAAAAAAGAGAAAGCGGCCTAAAACTCTTGAGCCCGGGCAACAAATAAATAAATAAATAAATAAAAAGAAGAAGAAAAATGAAAGGATTGCCAGCAAGTCGGGAATCCAAAATGGTATCTCCGCCACGGCGCTTTCCAGGTAGAGATGCACGCAACAATTCCAGAGACAGGCGCGGCTTTATTGCCAGACCTGTCCATCACACTAGAGGCCCCTCACGAGGGAAAGAAGAGAATCTCCCCGGGTGCGACAGCTAGGCAGCCTCTCGGCTTCCCTCTCCGGAGCAGGGAAGTGCAAACCCGCAGCGGCTCACCTGATGCTCCTTCACCACCTGACTGAGGCAAGGATACCTCTCCGAGACCCACCGATAAAACTTCGGCACCCCCATAGCGGCCGGCTTCTGCCCTTCCTCTTTAGCTCCCTCCCGCAGTCCACTCGGACCCAAACAAACGCCTCTGCCACCTTTCCTCTCAGGCAAAGCGCTTCCTTCCGCCAAGGCCCCAAATCATAGAGCGGGCCTCGCCAGAGAGGACGAGTCAGCGTCGGAAATTAAAGGCGGGCGCCGGCGGTGGACGCTTCTTATTGGATGTCGTGAGAATTGCAGGTTTGCAATCATCCTGTATCGGCCAAAGTTTCCCCCTTGTTACCGCAGATGGCAGGTGATGGAGGAGGAAAAGTGGCGAAAGGAACTTTTTCGGTCCTCAGATTTCCACCAAACAGTAGGACAGAGGATTAAAAAAAAAATCCCCTTGAAAGATCCATAATGGGACCGGAGGGGGAGGTATGGGTGGAATAAGAGGACGACCAGCAAGGGAGCGAATAGTCAAACTCAATAAGAAATGGATGCGATGAAACATTTAAGCTTCTCTTAATGTGCTAGGAAATCGGCACCTAGCTAGCAGCAATCAATATGCAATATATTAGAGATGAAGTTGCCAAACAAAGGAAGGTAGAAATGGGAAGGCTCTTCTGGCCCTAGCTGGGGAGGATTGGTAGAGGTGAAACAGGAGAGGTGAGGCTGGTTGCTATACTATTGAAATAGTGGGGAAATGGGTATTTTTCACAACCACCTAACTCCAATTCGGTGTTGAGTGTCACATATAACCAGTTATTGGGTGCCTGGGAGAGTGGGTTATGAGATAGCTGAAAGGGTATGGAAAAGAATGGTAGGAAAGAGTCTGGCCCATTCTAGGGGAAGCAAATTTGTTAATTTGGTTCCAGTTTATAATTCCAACCCCTCTTACCAAACTTAACCCAAATTAGGCAACCAAATTGCTGGATATGCCAGACTGAAATTGGTGCTTTTTGAATAGTAGGATGGTAATAAATCCAGCCTTTATTGATGACTCCACTGTGGATGAGAAGGCATTGCTTGTATGTGCTGCTAACAGTTGGCTAGATAAGGAGCTCCTCTTACTGAGATGGGTCCAGGAGTTTCATGTCTTCCTTTATCCTTGTCCCGAGCAAGAAAGGCAGTTGTGTGCTAGGAGATCAGTCGTGGCTATTGTGAACATTGGCATGTGAGATTAAGCTAAAGGAATAAAATGGAGTTGCTGCTTTTGTGCTGTTCTCACAGAGATATGGCAGTATCCCTCCCTGAACTGCTTGATTTTACGGATATGGATTTGCTCAGACTATTGGTACTGGCTAATTTTAACCTTTTCTCACTGAGATTGGGGGAAATTTGGGAGTTTATTTCTGCAGTGGCACTACAGACTTATCAGCCACCCAACCTTTATATTGTTGTCACACATTAGTCATAGTCCTAACTATGGAAATGTGAAATGGGTTCTGGAGAACATCTCCACCATATCTATGCATCCATAATGGTGGTTAACCAAAACTACCACTATTGCAAAGAGAGATGGCCAGTTAAAATAGCTCACTCGGAGTATCTGATGAATCAGAAAGATTTTCTGAGATCGTTTGGATAGGATGAATACAAATTAATCCTTTAGGAATGCTATGGGGAATGAGAAAATTTACTTCCTTTTCCTTTTCACTGATTCTATTGGGCTATTATAGAGTGTCTTATTTCAGTGGAAAGTACCAGCTAGAAACACAGCTGGATTTTAATGTAATTTAAGTGCAGTAAATGATTAAAAATGAAATTATTCTGGAGGAAATTAACTGGAAGTGAAGCCAATTCTTATTTTAATACAGTTGTGCTTCAGAGTTACTCTCTCAAAAGTGCTTTGGGGCACACGGGAACACAAACATGGCACCCACAATACTTGAAAAAGATGCTTGTTGTCCATTTCTTCCTAGCCCTGACTCTATAATTTCTCCTAGTGATGATATTATTAAAAGTTGAATGGATATGACTATTATAATATAGTTAGCATCAGTGTTCACCATATCTCATGTAAAGCATTATTTCTAACTGTTACCACTTTTAAGGATTCAAACAAATGAATTTGGGGCATGGCAGTGAGTATATTAAGGACACAAAAATCTACAAATCGTATGAACATTTTGAAGGAGTAGGCATACTTATCCTTGAGAACTCAAGACTTTAGTAGAGATACAGTAATCTTCAGATACCTGAAAGAATATTTATTTAATTTCTGGAAGTTAGATTCCAAATGAATGCCAAAAAACTTGGCTAACAGCAATAACTATTTGATAGTGGAATGACAGACGTGCTATTCTCATTCAAATAATTTATTCTACTGAAAAATAGAATCTTACCCATAGAATATATTGAAAAGATGCAAATAAACAAATACACACATTTCATACTGAAAATAATAATGGATGTTTGTCTACATATAGCTATCATAAAATCAATGTTTTGGGTAAAGTACAACTGTTTTTAATAACAATAATAGACATATTCTTTAGGTGAAAATTATTTTAAGAATAATTCTCAGTGAAGTATTCCCTTTCTCATTTATCAGTTACCCTTGAAAGATTTAATATTTAAATCTCCTGAATTCTCCTTTGTAGACCACCTACAATTTTTTGACTCTCATTTTTCTCCTCTATTAGGAATCTGAGACCGTTTTATTCCTGATTTCATATTCAAATCATCCTAAATGCATTCACTTTCTGTAACACACAATCACACATACATGAATTAGGACTGTGAGCAACATAACTGAAACCCTATTTTACTGTATGATTTGCAATGTAATGTTGAAATGGTTTGGTTAAGTAAGAAAATTAAAAGAGATTGAAGCCAAAACAGCTTTGTGATGGAATAGTAAAGGAGATGAAAGGAACTTGAAGAATGACAATTTTATGTGAGTAGATTTAATGAAATCCTCAAAGAGAGGTGAGGTGTTTAAAGAAGAAAAAACTCTAAACAATGTGGTACATGGACACAGTAAGAACAAGAATGCTCTGCAAGGACAAAAAGGAATGGTAATGTACTGTGTAATTCTGTTCTATTTTTAAACTGCATTTATTCTCATCTGGCTTATTCTATTATACATCCAGTATCTTTAACATTCCTAGCTCAAAGACCTACTATTGTATTATTAAGCTTGTGGAAACAGCATTGTGATAAACAGAATAACATTTTGTGAGCAATTTTTTTTAACTGGAATAAATTCTATAAACAGAATTTCCACTGTATCAGTGGAAACAGTATTTATATACAATATATACACTTAAACACTGATCTGCATTAGCAGAATTTACTAAAGTTTTTTTTTAAAAAAAACTAACAATGTTGGCTGCAAATGACTGCATATCACATATATGGTGCCCAACCAAGATACATCTGACACAGCAAGTTTTCATCAGTTGAATCTTGAATAAGATGGTGAACATGTCCTTCAATTGACAACGGTAGGCCTTTTACCCTGTTCCTATTTTTTATTACACCCTGCAGCCGCTGCTCTATATCTTGCACATGAGTCTTGGCCTGAAAAACAAAAAATAATCTACATAAGAGAAAGATATCATTAGTACACTAGAAGCTAAATTTTAGTGGTAAGTATTGTAGCTTTCTCCAACATAAAAGATTGTGTTCCCAGTGAAGGTTTATTGAATTATATAAAACTGGGTACTATGTACTATACCAGGGATATCAAACTGGTGGCCCACGGGCTAGATGCATCATGCACAGACCACGCCCACCCCAGCTCCGCAAAGGCAAAAAAACATTGCGATGCCGTGTAATGTCACGTGATACGATTGAGTTTGACACTTTGTCTACTATATACTAAGTCTATAATGGCGAGCCTATAGCATGCATGCTACAGATAGCACGTGGAGCCATATTTTCTGGCACGCCAGCTGTCAGCTCCAGCGCACATGTGCGTGCCAGTAAATTGATTTTTCATCCTTCTGGAGTGCCGGGGGAGGCAGTTTTCCCCCTTCCCAGGCTTCAGGAAAGCCTCCGGAGACTGGGGAGGGTGAAAAACGCCCCTAACGGGCCATCGAAAGTTCAAAAATGAACTTCTGTTTGGCCCATTGGGCCTGTTTTCCAGAGGCTTTCCTGAAGCCTGGGGAGGGCGAAAACAGCCTTCCCTGGGCTCCTGGAGGCCCTCTGGAAGCTAGAAACAGATCATTTCCAAACTTCTGCTTGGTCCGTTGGGGCCATTTTTTGCCCTCCCCAGTCTCCGAAGGCTTTCCCCCAACCCCAACGGGCTAACTGGAAATTCAGGAAATGGGCTAGAAACTGGGAGAACATATGCTCTGGGCCACCTTAGACATAAAGCTAGCTGGACCAGGAAGTATGTATCTGCCATAGGAAGCAGGCAATGTAAAACTTCCAAAATCTTACCAGAAATTTAAAAAATGACTTGAAGGCATGGGAAAAAGGGGTAACAATGTATATTTTGGTAATAAAGCATTACAAGCACAATCTATAAAGTTTAAATGAGACCAGAAAGTTTTTAAAGTATCATTTTTATTTGTATCATAAAAATTAATCTGCATTACAAAAATAAATATTTATGAATACTATTTGTATGAATGAATGAAATAATTTAAAAAAAATAAACGGCTAGCACTCATCAATATATGAGTGCGACCTGATGAAAAACAAATAGGTCAAAGATTCCAATTCTTGTAGTCATCTGTTCCTACTGTGTTTGTTCTTCTTGAATAAATTCAGTTATCATTCAAAGCAAGGTTATGTTGCTAAATATAGTATCCATTTTGATTTGTTTACTGCCCTGGTGCAAAGTTTGAGTTTTTAACCCTGAGTTTTACCAGCTTACCTTTTCATTGACAATTTCTCCAGTTTCGTTTACCAAGGTTTTTGTATTGCCTCTAACTGGCTTACTCCATTCCACAAGGGGATCATGCAGAAACGTCTTCAAAACACTAGATTTGAGAGGGAACAAAATATTTTTAGTTGCATTCGTTGTAATAAGTCTCATTAGATTCAGTTACTATCCAAATTTGCTGTGAGTAGAACAGCAGATTGTAAAATAATCATCATCTTAATNTATTGTTTGCAAAGACTGAAAGTTAAACTTGCTTGAAAAAATTTGAAGACTATTACATTCAGATGTAATTGTTTTGCCAACATACTTCGGCATAAAAAATATTTTACATTCAATATGCTGCTCACCTTATTAAACAGACAGTTGAAATCTACATGCACACATTCACCAGTTAGAGAATCAAACAGAATATTTTCTCCATGACGGTCCCCAAGACCCAGCATGTACCCGACCATTGACATAACTGCAGTGGAACGACAATAGGCTGATCTGCTGCTGTACCTACAGAAAAAAATAAAAATCAAGATACCTTATAAGTGCTTGATCATTTTATAATAATTATTGGTGGCAAGACAATTTGTGCACTCAGCAAAAACATTGAAAATATATAGTTTATGATGATTATTACAGACAACCCTCAACTTATGGTCACAATTGGGAATGGAATTTTCATTGCTAAGCAAGTTGTTTGTTAAGTAAGCTGCAACTAATATTACAAGCTTTTTTGTTGTGATCATTAAGTGTATCATTAGTCATTAAATGAATCATGAGGTTAAGTGACTCCAGCTTCCCCTATTGATTTCGCTTGCCGGAAGCCAGCTGTGAAACCATGTGATTTCAGGACACTACAATTGTTGCAAATAAATACGAGCTGCTAAGCTCCTTCTGATTGTGTGACTGGAGAAACCGCAATGATCCTAAGTGTGAAGGCTAGTCATAAGTGCGAAGACCAGTGGTAAGTCACTTTTTTCAAACCATCATAACTTCTAATGTTGCTAAACAAATATTTGAAAGCCAAGGAATACTTGTATGTAGGCAATCATATTTTCTTTTAAAATCCTAGATATTATTGTAGAGTAATTCAAATTGTATCTAAATGTATATTTATTACATTTATATATCACTCAACTCCCAATAACTGTAGAAAAAAAACTGACCATGAGGTAGGATCAGGGAATTTTCTCAGAAACCATTCATGAAAAATTGGAGGATGTCGAGGAAGTAGAGTTTCTTTGAAAACCTTCAGCTTTTCAGATAAAGGCGCTGTCTTTGGAATAATACACTGACGTAGCTCTTTACCAGTCATGTAGATGCCTGTAAAAGAAAAATGAATATACCGTATTTTTCAGAGTATAGGACACACCAGACTATAAAATGCACCTAAATCTAGAGGAGGAAAACAAGAATAAACAGTTTTTGGCCTGTGCATGTCCTATTTTCGCCGTTCCTGGCCCCCAGAAGCACTTTGCAGGCCAAAAACAGCCCTGACCCCTCCACATGTCCCATTTTTGCCCAAAACAGGCCTGTTTTTGGCTTGAGTGCTTCTGGGGGCTGGGGAAGATGAAAAATGGGACCCATTGAGGGTTTGGGAAACCAAAAACAGGGCCGTGAAGGGCAAAAATGGGACATGTGGAGGGTTCAGGGCTGTTTTTGGCCTGCAAAGTGCTTCTGGGGGCTGGGGAAGATGAAAAATGGGACCCATTGAGGGTTTGGGAAACCAAAAACAGGGCCGTGAAGGGCAAAAATGGGACATGTGGAGGGTTCAGGGCTGTTTTTGGCCTGCAAAGTGC